GGGAATGTGCATCACTGTGGTTGGTAATTCTGTGTACCCAGTTTTATAACTGCAGTCATCTTAAATACATTGACAACCTAAGTCTTAACGAAATGGGTCAGATATTGTGATAAGGTGTACTCCACCTATGCAGTCTTCCCAAAGAGATAAAACCAATTTTATCCTTGCCAAATGGAAATGTACAAAAAAACCCCTCTTCACGAGGAGGTTTCAACATTTTTACATACACGCACAATGCTTAAAAAAGTTGACATTGTTGGCGGCACCTGTGGCTCAAAGGTGTAGGGCGCTGGCCCCATATACCTGAGGTGGTGAGTTCAAACCCGGCCCCCAGCCAAAAACTGCAAAAAAAAGTTGATGTTGTATGGTGGGGTGTGGTTTGCCTGAGTAAGAGCAAGACCCCTGTCTCTAAAAGTAGCCAGGCATTGTGGCAGGTATGAGCCATCTTGCCTGGCCCTACACATCTCTTTATATTTAGTTTCCAAATAAAGACAATAAAAGGTAATAGTTGCATAGCCACATAACATGATGCAATTTTCCTGTGTTCAACTCTAATCTTTACAATTCAGCTCTTAGGATTTCTCCATTCAGGATTTTAGTCTTTCAGAGTTGTTACTTTGGGGGTTTAGACTTAAGGGATTAAGGCCAGGCGAGGTGGCTCACACCTGTAATCCACAGCTTTTGGGAGGCCAAGGTTGGGTGGATTGTTTGAGCCAGAGTGAGACCTGTCTCTAAAAATAGCCAGGTGGCTATTTTGTGGTGGGCGCCTGTAGTCCTAGCTACTTAGGAGGCTAAGGCAAGAGAATTGCTTAAACCCAAGAGTTTGAGGTTGCTGTGAGTTGTGATGTTACAGCACTCTACGAAGGGTGACATATTGAGACTCTGTCTCAAAAAAAAAAGGTAGACTTAAGGGATTTTGGTCTTTTGGGATTTCAACATTTGAAATTATGTCTTTTGGGAGTATGATTGGCACCAATATTGGTTGTCGGAGGATTTATACTAGGCAAGAAAGACTAGTTCCCTCTGGTCTAAGTAGGTAATCTATAAAAGATATAAAGTATAAAATACCTAAATTGGTTGATTAAACTAGAGCATCTCTGGAACTCATACTGGGAAGTTCATATTTTTGTACTTTTGGGATTGAAAATTACAGTCCCTTGTTTTCTGTGACACTCTCCACTAGATTCTGTCTTTGGTCCTTTGGTTTGCTTACCATTTAGATGTTCCTGGTGGTTTACCTTTCACTCTTTGCCACTCAGTTTTGATCTCCCTCTTTCATCTCTGTGTACTGGCAACCTAACCTCAGTGAGGGCCAAAGGCAAGATTATTTTGGGGAAAGACTTCTACTAACTCTTCATCAAGCTATGGGAACATAATATGAGGTTAAGTGTCAGTTCCCTGTAAATATATTTGGAGTTAATTGTTTTTTGTGTTAGAATAATTGCTTTCACTTGTCACACAATAGTCTATGGGGAAGACTGTTGGATTATAGACAGATTCTTCAAGAAAAACCAAGAGGAGACTGTAGCCAGAGGCCAGGTTTAGTCAGGAAGCCTGGTTCTAGTTCTGGTACTTGGGCTTATAGATAACAGTGTTGTAGCTATGAGTGACATGCTTAGCTCCTTGAGTTGCTTAATCTGATAAAGTGATTGGAAATGCTTTCTAAACAGCAGAAGTACCAAGAGGCAAATTGTATATGCAGTCTTTTTCCTTGCAGCATTCTTAGAAAGAAATTAGATGTGATTTTATGGTAGCAAATCACTTTCTATAGGTTAGACATTACAATTACAGGATGGATTTCTGATGAAGAATGTGGCATTGAGGCTGGGTGCAGTGGCTCATGCTTGTAATCCTAGCACTCTGGGAGGCTGAGGTGGGTGGATTGCTTGAGCTCAGTAGGTCGAGACCAGAGTGAGATCCCCATCTCTAAAAATAGCCAGGTGTTGTGGTGGGTGCCTATAGTCCTAGCTGCTTGGGAGGCTGAGGCAAGACGATCATTTGAGCCCATGAGTTTGAGGTTGCTGTGAGCT